TCTGTGTATGTTTCTAGCTCTTCCAAACTTTGTCGTTTCTGCAATCTACAATTTCATTGTTTGAAAAAAAATAATGGTAATTCTGCGCTGTGTCCCTAGGTTATTTTGCATTTCTTGCTACGCATGGTAACTGGACAAGTGGATGGGATACATGACACCCGAGAAGAAACAGGAAAAGGAAAAAAAACAGGAACAGTGACACATGACACAAATGACATTCAACAAAACACTGAAGATTTGAACAATCACCAATCTAGCAACAAGTAAGATTTATTTATCGTCGTTGGGTACTGTGAACTAATTTATTTTCACTTGGAATTTATTTTGCTTAAAGGATAAATCAGTGATTATTAATCCAGTTTTCTATGTTTTACATTAAACTTCATACAAAAAAAAAATGTTTCAGCAGAAATATTTTTTAGCAAGTATTTTGTAAGACTGTAAGAGGGTTAATTATTCACTGGGTTTTAATTTTGCTTATTTCGCTGTCTGGAAAATGCGCTAAATTAAAACCCAGTGAATATGTAAAAAAAAAAAATATTTTTTTTTATTTTTTTTTTTTTTAAATATTTTTCTGCCAGGCGACAGTTCTGGACACTAAATGTCACCGTTGTCACTCCTGACTTTTTTTTTGTGTGTGCAATTACTAGTGCTGACACATAGTGCATTTTGCCACAGAAGTCATAATCATGTCTGTCAAATGGCAATTTTAATGTTAAGGTCCCCCCAAAGTCGCATTCGTTAGTGAATGAATCTCGGCCAGTGGAATTGGCCTTCCCATTGAGTCTGTGGCACACTCATCCAGGGTAGGGGTTGACCCTTTGATGTTCAGCCTAAGGTAGGATTTGAACTTGGGTCTACCGATCATGAGTCTGGAGCGACAACCACTATGCTGCTACCAGTGACCAATGACCGAATATGTAAAATTTAAATTTAAATATGTAAAATGATAAATCCGTGAATTTAAAACCTACTTAATATGCCTGAAATGGTAAATCAGCGAAATTTTAATCCAGTGAAAATTAGTCATTTTACAGTAAGCCACTATATCACTGTTTACTTTACCAAACATCTTCTTTTCAAATTGAAATGTCACTGTGAAGAGAGACTGCAA